CAAGTCTTCTAAATATCTGCAAAGAATTTATAAAATCTTAGAAACTAGCATATGATAAGACAAAGTAAGTGTAAAGAGATGGTATACTTGTCATATTAAATAGCCCAATCTTTGGCAATGAGTAGCAGTATCTATTCTTAATTTGTAATCTAAACAATGAGAAGACATGACAGTGATAGAAATGATAACATCTAGGTTAGTTCTGGGTATTAAAAGTGATAAGACACCGAAAAAGCTTTCTTAAGGCATGTCAGCTTACTCAGAACAAGTTTACCAATTAAAAGGGAAGGAGTGAAGCAAAGAAACTGTTGCTCATACAGCCTGTCTCCAAAGGAAACAGCAATACAAGACAACACACAGAAGTGGTTCCCTTTCTTTTCCTTTTTTCTTTCTTTCCCTTCCTTTTCTCTTTTCCTTTCCTTTCCTTTCCTTTCCTTTCCTTTCCTTTCCTTTCCTTTCCTTTCCTTTCCTTTCCTTTTTTTCTTTTCTTTTCCTTTCCTTTCCTTTTTTTTACTTTTCTTTTCTTTTCTTTTCTCTTCTTTTCTTTCTTTTCTTTTCTCTCCTTCTCTCTTCTCTTCTCTTCCTATTTTAAAAGAACATAACCTACGCAAGTAGAATTTCATATATCTTTTATTGAATTGTACTACAAATTGAGGCAATAACCTGCACATAATGGTGCTCAATAGTTGCCAGGGATGAATCAACATTGAAAATAAGATTTAAAGGATGACTGGGTGGCTCAGCTGGTTGAGCATCTGACTTTTGATTTTGGCTCAGGTCATGATCCCAGGGTCATGGGATTGAGCCCCACAGTGGCTTCCAACTGAGTGTGGAGCCTACCTAAGAGTCTCTCTCTCTCTTTCTCTGGCCCTCACCTGCTCTGGCTCTCTCTCTCTTTTAAAAAAAAAAAAGATTCTCTCTCTCCATTCTCTCCATCTGTCCCTCCCTCTGCTCCGGCACCCTCTCTCTCTCAAATTTAAAAAAGAGAGAGAGAGATTTAATTGTTTAGAAATTACAGTTGTGCCTGCAAAATGACTGACCCCCTTTTTTAGAAAAGATAAAAACCTTTAAATTGTTGAACTCCAGGTTCTGCATGGTTTATGCAGTGATCTAAATGGAAATATATAGATTTTTGGTCTTAATACTTCAACATGTATGGCTCAAGGCAAAATGTAGGAATCTTATAAAATGACGTTGTATGATAAAGGGAGAGCTATCCTTCCCTAACAATAAACTACCATCTATGTGCTACTTTCATAGAAACTCTTGGTCTAATTTTAGTCACCTAACCATCAACTATGATTCTCCTATGTTGTATTATACATACATTTGGAAAAAAATGATATACATGGATATGCTTTATTGTACCTTTAGCAGGATTGAAACAGTGTATCAATTTTATTTTGGTTGTCTTTTATTAGCTTTCTACCACTTGATGAGCTGATATCACTAATAATAAATTTTTTTTTTATAAACTAGAGTTTGCAAGTCCTGTCCCGAGACTGTAATATTTCAAAAAACAGTCTAAGCTTTAGGGAAAAAACCAATTACAGAAACAGCATTAAAAATGCCAAGCACCGGGCAGAAGCAATTCTGGATCAGTTTAAAAAAGTGATTGATGAAACTCTAATCCAAGCTGAAGGAACAGTTTCACGACAAGCTGTGACCATTCCACACACTTCATTAGCTGCCATAATTAGCCTGGTGTTTCAATTTGTTAGAACTGGTGGGGACAATTTTCCTCAGAATGCAAACATCAAAAAACAGGGTCCCTCAGACTTCAGAAGAGGCTGATGAGAGGCTTTCCTAGTCTCTGTTAACTAAAAGATTAATTATTGCTGATGGGAGCCTGTGCTGTGATTGTCACTCTGTCTATGTGCATTACTTTTAGCATTAGAAGAAAGATAGGGTTGACACCACACTACTCAATCAAGCAGCTTCACATTAGTGCACAAAGTCGGTTTTAATATCCAGGCTATTTTTGATTGATTTTTTTCCTTCCTGTTTTCTGGGACCAAGACTCACACCTATTTATTTATATCAGAATTTTAAAACAGTCTCTAACATATTGAGAAGTTTGGTTAATGTACTTTGCCTCAAGTTATGGCTTCCCTCTTTAAAGATCAGCAGAAGAGCGATTTCACATACTTCTATGATCGTATAGTGGCATCTTTCAAATATGTTTATAAATCTTCTAAGACTACAAATGTTTTAGCCAACCTATAAAGGTACAATAATTTTAAGGATATTTATAAATAAAGCACTATTTTTCTTATCCCTAGATTAAGAGAGCATACTCTGATTTCCCACAATGTAAATTCATGAAACCTAGTTAAAAGGAATGGTAGGAAGGAAAATCCTAGGTAGTTTCCTTAAAACAAAACGGATTTCTTTTAGTCCTTTGGCCAGCAGCAACACGGATCCTAAATTGATAGTATACACTGATAGGATGGTGTTACTAAACATTTTACCAAAGGCTTAATTTTTAATTCCCTTCAAGTTGTTATTATTTAATTATTTGTGTTTGGCTAGATATTTTTAAACCAAAAATTTCCACTTTATATATCTTTTTTTAAAAAATGATTTCTTTGACCTTTAGTGAGTAAACTGAAAGAAGTAGTTTAGAGAGGTATGAAGGAAGCAAACATAATCAAAGAAACTGATGGTATTTTCAAATCCAGGACATTGTAATGAAAAAGCTTTAAAATGAAAAAGCATAACAACATCAGAGAAAAAAATGCTTGTCTGAATTTTCAGAGGGAAAATTTTCATAGGTTCCATTAAAATCAAGTTTTTGTCATCCCAAACAATTGGGCAAATATGTAATATGGAGCAGTACTAACAGATACATAATGTGGGCCAAATAGGTAATTCTAATTTTTTAGTAGCCATATTAGAAATGGCAAAAACGAATAGGTGAAATTAACTGTATGGTAGTAAAATATTTTAACCTAATATGTCTAAAACACTAGCAATGAAACATATGTCATTAAATATGACAATATGAATATGTTACCTGTTTTTTTATACTACAATTTTGAAATCCAGTGTGTACTTTATACTTCTAGCACATTTCAGTTCAGACTAGCCACATTTCAAAAGCTCAATAGCTACATAGGAATCATACCAAAGAACACAGATTTAGAGAATATAGAACTTTCTTTCCCAAAGAATAAATAGCCTTTCTGCTACTTCATGAATACAGCAAGCCTGGAGTTCTATAGAGTTACACACACATGATCATAATGAACACAATACAATAGCAGTTGAATCAATTTTTTACAATGAAGGGTAAAAGTCCTATATTAATAAATGAACACTGATGAAATCATTATAACACTATAATATAGTCCTATATTAATAAATGAACACCGATGAAATAGATTATAAGAATCACAACAATCAGTTAAGATAATGTAAGACAAGAATCAACAGGCCATACACACCCTGAGACTGAATACAGCCACACATAGGGCCAGAAAGGTAGTGCCCATGCCTTGGGCAGGAATAAATGGTTAAAACAAAAGTCTATATTGTATTCAGAGTTGAGATTCAGCCAGCATGCATCAGTATGGTCCTATCTGTCATTAACACATGGAAAAACTTTTATGATTACTGTTAATAAACAGCTGCTAACCCAAGCATCATTTCCACCATGCCTCACAATCTAGCAGTTAATCAGTTAGTGTATATCCCAGCAAGGGGCCCCGGGATTGTTGTGCATTCTGATTGTTTAGTACCTGTGAAGGACAGTTAGAATATAATATTACTTATGTCTCTAATATATAGATAATTAGATGGTCATTTGACCACAGTTAGTTAGCTGGTAAATCTGTGATTAACTTAGCCACAATGTTGTTTTTGATCTTTTCATCAAATTGCTTCTTCCTAAAATTTCAGGAAACATGTTCAGAATCAAGATATCTACATTTAGCTGCTCTAAACAGCCATGAGAAAGGCATCTTGAAACTAATCTCAGCTGAATCTGCCAAGCCATTTGCTATTCAAAAGATAGTACATAGATTATTGCTGTTTGGGTATTGCAGTCTGAGGAAGGTTTCCTTCCACAATTCTACCTCTCTACTATTTATCTATGATTATTTATGAGCAGCAGAGGATATAACCAAAGTAACTCTTAGAGTTCATACATAATAATCTAACTTGTGTTGAATCATTCTTCTTGATATTGTTACATACAGAGAAAATCTTGAAATATAGATTATAAAATAGCACAGAATTTAACTTCTTCAGGAGTGAAGATTTCACAATGAAAAAATGAAGTACAGCTGGAGTGCTTCTATTTTTTGTGAAAGTACGTTATAGATTGTGGCTTTTTGTCAGAAAAGGTGGATTGATTTGAAAGGTGCCAGGGTGGTTCAGTCAGTTGAGTGTCTGACTCTTGATTTCAGCTCAGGTCATGATTCCAGGGTTGTGGGATGGGGCCCCGTGTCAGGCTCCACACTCCTCGAGATTTTTCTCCCCTACCCTCTCCCTCTTCTGTCCCTCTTCCATGCTCATGCACTCTCTCTTTAAAATATTTTTTTTAAAGAAAGCTTTATAAAAAGTGGGTTGATTTGAGATTGCTGGGAAATTCCAAACTATGATTTGCCCCATCCAAAGACCTTTGTCTGGAAACATCTCATAATGCAAATGGAATAAGGCACACACCATAGGGGAGAAATTACAACTCATAAGAAATAAATGTTGCAATTCAGTTGAGACTTAGGACAAAAGAGTAATATGGAGGAAATACTCAATTTTCTCCCAAATAGTTGATCATTTCTAACAAATCATAGGGTAAGTGACAGAGCCAACATTTTCCTCCAGCATTTGAGAGCAACAAACTGTCTTTCTGTCTTTAAAATGATTAACAGTTCTATTGTTGAGTATAACTTCAACTGGAAGGAACTCCTTTGAACTTCGTGACTAGGTGTAGTATCTGCAATCTTTGGGAAAACATCTGTCTTTGTTGTTTGATGAAAAAAAAAAGTTCCACATACCATCCTGATCATCTCTTTCTGTGTCAGCATGAATTACTGTCAAAGAGGCCACCCAAAAATCTTGAATAGAGGCATGTGTACTCCTATAGTCAATGTTAGAACCAGAACCTTTACAGAGAATTTTTATGAGAAGAGAGCAGAATATGAAATGCAAAGTCTTGAAGATAAGAATTAAACTTTAAATATAAGTTTAAAAATATTTGGAAGAAATAAAAAGTAATGGTCAGAACAATATGAAATGGAGTTTATTCATGGATTGGATTACTTAGATAATTTTACTTTTCTTCAATGCACCAAAGCCATATTATACATGGGGCTGAAAAGTCATGAATCCTTTTGAGAAAGCTTTTACTCTGGAAAATAAGATTAGAGGAAGATAATTATGCCAACTCTCTAATATTCTGGAGGAAATCCTTTTGGAAGCTGAAGTGGAAAATGACAATTTGTTTATTTCTGTATAGGCAGAAATATCTGAACACTGAGGAACATCACAAATCTCATTTCTAGTTCACTTTTGCTGGTGTTCTTAAAATGGATACATGGATTCATAGCTTTCAGCTGTCACAGACTCTATAATCAGACTCCAAAACACATAACCTCAAAGGCTTAAGGACAAAAGAAATGAAATGACATGAATTCAATCTAGAGATTTCTTGGAAAACTTTTACATTCCTTTACTCCAACCTTTGCTCTCTGACAGAGGAAGTTATTGGAGTTCTGATTCCATTTGACACTACATAGCTAGGTAAGTTATTATTTTTAGCATGTGTTGTTATTAGAACAACAACAACAAAAGAAATCAAAACAATGTGGAAGAGTAGTGTACTGCCAAACTATAAGTCTTCCCCAACATTTCAAATTTTATTCAAGTGAAGACATGGTAGTATTTCCATTGAAATTTATTTTTATACAATTTAATTTCTTTACTTGTAAAATTTGGAATCATTTCCACATTTTTTAAAATATTTTTATTTATTTCTAGGAGCGAGAGAGAGAGAGAGTGTGTGAGCAGGGGAGGGTCAGAGAGAGAGGGAGTCACAGACTGAAACAGGCTCCAGGCTCTGAGCTGGCAGTCAGCACAGAGCCCGACGCGGGGCTCGAACCCATGAACCGCGAGATCATGACCTAAGCGAAAGTCGGACGCTTAACCGACTAAGCCACCCAGGTGCCCCCATTTCCACATTTTTATAAAATAGACATTTGAGAGTAATAATTATAAACAAATACTTTAAAAAGCTATTGTTTTATTTGTTTGGGGAAGGAAATTAGTTTTCAATAAAATTAAATTGCATACAATTTTTTGTGCTTTTGTTATTTGCACTTTGTTTTTGGACAGAAGGCCCATAGCTCCAATTATGTATCTAAAGGGTAAGCTGTTAAAAAGTATCAAACTATTGACCTGAAGTCCAACATTGTTTCTGAAGAAAATAGCAGTTTCCTGATTTAAACTGAAAATCCACTTTGCCAGTCTTAAATCAAACTTCCCACATAAAATAAAGAGAAGAAACATGATAGGTAAAACTATCTCCTACAAAGGGAAATATGGTTAAGTCGAAGAAAGCTAGTGACTTGAATTATATTCGTGATCTAATGAGTCTACATAAGTAGACAGCTCTTGGGTACTCAAGTCCAAATCCACAACCAGGTAACACACACTTGCATGTATAATTATACATTGTAATTGTCAATTATACTTCCATAGAGAAAATAATCATAGTATGGATTTCACTTTTATATGTAAGTTTCAATATGAGAAAGCTGGTTTTTTAGTCACTTCCCCTTTCCTCCCCACCCAGTCATCCCTTTCCTTGTATGTGGGTGTGTGTTCGTAGTTGTGCAGAAAAGGATTTGTGAGCTTAATGGGGCAAAGACAAACCCTGAGTATATGAAGCAGACATATCCCAGTCACCATGTTCTATAGGTAACAAAATTTTTGACCGTGACATTTATAAACAAAACCAAAAAGACATACAGAGGACCAATGTACACATGGGAAGATGCTCAATATTACTCATCAGGGAGATGCAAACTGAAACTACAATGAGATGTCACCTTACACTGGTCAGAACAGCTAGAATCAAAAAGATAAGAAATAACAAGTCTTGGTGAGGATGTGGATTAAAATGAGCCCTCAGGCACTATTGGTGGGAATGCAAATTGGTGCAGCTACTGTGGAAAACAGTATGTAGATTCCTCAAAAAAATTAAAAATAGAATTACCATATGATCTAGTAATTCCGCTAATGGGTATTTACCCAAAGAAAACATACCATTAATTTGAAAAGGCACAGCCCCCTATGTTTATTGCAGCATTATTTACAATAGTCAAGATATGGCCGTAACCCAAGTATCCATCCAAGTAACCCATATGTACACATTAGAATATTACTCAGTCATAAAAAAGAAAAAGAAATCTTGCCATTTTCAGCAACATGGATGGACCTAGAGGGTATAGTGCTAAGTAAAATAAGTCTGACAGAGAAAGATATATGCCATGTGATGTCGTATGTGGAATTTAAATAAACAAAGCAAATAAATAAAGGAAAAAAAGGAGACAAACCAAAAACAGACTCTTAAATACAGAGACCAAACTGCTGGTTGCCAGAGGGGAGGTGGGTGAAATAGATAAAGGGGAATTAATGGTATAGTTATCCCGATGAGCACTGAGTAATGTATAGAATTGCTGAATCATTATATTGTACACCTGAAACTAATAAAACACTGTACATTAATAATACTTCAATAAGAAAATCAATTAAAAAACCCAAAACTAAGTTCATTGTCATCCTCTAAGAGGTCATGATATATATATAATTTATTTTTACCAAAAAAACTTACAACATTTGAAAAAAAGCCTTTCTTTGCTTTGGAATAGTAGACTTTACTGAGACTGTACTATAAGTTATATTGTACTCTATAGTAGGAAAAATTTATCAGTGATGTTTTGGGATAAAAAAGAAAAAGTGTATGTTACCTGTGAATAATATATCTAATATATTCTATTACCTTTTTTTCTGATATATTTTTAGGATTTTCACTGTACCCTGATATTTAGGTAATGCTAGCCACAAATATGAAAACCACTTTAGAAAAAAAATATACATTTTACATATAGTACTTTATAAGTCCTCAATTAACGCTATTACAATTAGGAAGTATATTACTACTTGCAAATTAGATTGTTTCCATCCTCTGGACATTATTTATGTATATTAAATGTCAAATCGAAAATGACAGATGACTTCTGACTTCACTTAGAAAAAAATATCCATGTCTCAGGGGCGCCTGGGTGGCTTAGTCGGTTAAGCGTCCGACTTTCGCTTAGGTCATGATCTCGCGGTTCGTGGGTTCGAGCCCCGCGTCGGGCTCTGTGCTGACTGCCAGCTCAGAGCCTGGAGCCTGTTTCAGTCTGTGACTCCCTCTCTCTCTGACCCTCCCCTGCTCCGCTGTCTCTCTCTCTCTCTCTCCTATAAATAAATAAAA